GACAAGCGCACGCTGGTGCTGCAGAATTACACGCGCCCCGAGGGCGGCCCGCCGCGCCACTTCCCCGCGTCCCCCTGCCCGCCCAGCATCTCCGAGAACGTCGCCCTGGAGTCCCTGGCCGTGGGCGCCGACGGCGACCTGCACGAGGAGGATTTCCTGCCCGACGACGTGGTGCAGTATCTCAACGCCCAGAACCAAGCCGGCTGCGGCCAGCACTTCCCGGGCGCGGCCCCTGACGACAGCAAAGCGCCCCAGGGGCCTGGCGACTTCGACCTGCCCGGGCTGCCCGACAGCCACCCGAGCCAGCAGTTCCGGCCCCTGGAGCAGCACTGCAGCGGCGGCGGCGAAGGCCGCAAGTCAGACTTGCCGATCCAGTGGAACGAGGTCAGCTCGGGGAGCTCCGACCTCTCCTCCTCCAAGCCCAAGGGCGGCCCAAGGCCAGCAGGGACGCAGGCCCGGGCCCTGGGCGCCTACGGCGGCATGGTGCTCCAAGCGCAGGGCCCGTGGAGGGCCGGGGGCTGTCCAGGCCTCGGGGAAAGCGGCGGTGCCTACGCGGGCCCCGAGCCCCTGGCCATCCACGGTGACCTGGGAGCCGGCCCGGGCGGCAGCGCCCTCCTCGACCAGCCGTACAAGGCCCCGCGCTACGGGAGCTGCCTGGCTGGGCAGCCAGCGTCCCCGGGAGCCCCGGACGGTGCACCCTGCAGTGCTCAGATTCAAGGGTCCAAGCTGAAAGGCACCACCGCCATGCCAGGAAATGGGGTTCCTCTGGATTTGGGCCTGATAATGGCAGCCAATGAGACAGCCGTCGGCACAGAGATTAACCTGCAGACCCCAGATCCGAGGGGCCAAGGCTACCCCGCTCATCCGCTCCTGGGCGACAGCCTGCATCGCCAGGGAGCAGGCCGGCCCGGCCCGCAGAGGCCCACGCCGCCCGGTGCTACCTCATACACCAGTGTCTACCCGGGACCCGGGAGCAGCCTGCAGGGGACTCTGAGCATTGGCAGCCACCCCACAAGTTCCACGGCCATCAGGGGCTACCCACAGCCGTGTGCCAGCTACGGGGGCAGCAGGCGTCAGGCTGTGCCCAGGGTTGGCGTTGCCCTGCAGCAGGGACAGCTGAGTGACACGAGTCAGATCTGCAGGGTGAATGGCATCAAGATGGAGACACACGGGCCACCCCAACCACTGTGTTCTAACACGCAGAATTACTCTGGTCAGTTTTATGACCAAACCTTGGGCTTCGGTCAGCAAGACACAAAAACTGATTCATTCTCCATGGCAGAAGCCAACTGCCTGCTCCAGGGAGCCCACATGGAAAACTCGGAGTTACTCTCACCAGGTGCTAACCAGGTGACCAGCACGGTTGATGGCCTGGACAGCCACGACCTGGAAGGGGTGCAGATTGATTTCCATGCCATCATTGATGACGGGGACCATGCCAGCCTGATGTCAGGGGCCCTGAGCCCAAGTATTATGCAGAACCTTTCCCATAGCTCCTCACGACTCACCACGCCACAAGCCCCCCTCCCCTTCCCAGCCCTGTCTCTGAGCACAACCAACATGGCAATCGGGGACATGAATTCCCTGCTCACCTCCCTGGCAGAAGAAACCAAATTCCTTGCTGCAATGCAATAGGCATTAGTCAAGAAAGACTGCAGACATAGGATTATAGGAGTTGAACGATGGAACTGACTCCTGGATTTCTCTACCCCCCCCCCATGTTTTGTTTTGAAGTTCTTGTATGTATTTTAGCAATCTCATCTCTTCTAACTGGGATGTGTTTCAAGTATATTCCTTTTATAGAAAAGGACTCTGAAAAACCCTAAGGTATCCTAGGGAGAAACTGTCTTCCATTTCAGTTTTGAATCAGTATTGTGACATTCAAACCAACCTTTAAAAAAAAAAATCCTGTATGCTCACCCTCCTTTTTTCCTTTTTTTTCCCCCTTTAGTAAACCAGTATAAATGTATGATGTGCATGTTCTTTCTTTTAAGAAGAGAGGTTACCAGATAAATAGATGTGTGTGCTTCTTGTTACTTCAAGGAAATGGAAGTTAGTGTGTGTGTGACCAAGGAAGCCATGTCAGCTTTTCTTATTTTCTTTTTTCTTTTACTTATGCTCAGTGTTTTGAGGGGGGAGGGGCTTGCATTTTGTTGTTGTTGTTTTGTACGTATGTATGCTTTTCTTTCGTCCCCACATTGGGCACAGAAATCAGAATAGGAAAAGAGACTTGAAGAATCTTTTGTGGGTGCATCCTAGCATAGTAGATGGTTGATAGGTTCTCCAATTCAATCCAGGCTGTTCACCTGACAGCTGGCCCAGGAGTGGAAACCTGGGGCTCTAGTGAGTGAAAACGTGGGTTGTACAATTCTTTGTATCCATTATGTGCTTTGGGTCCCCTGTCTGTGTGGTCAGGTCTCAGTGACTTTCTTTGTCTTCTTCTCTGTCTACCTTCCAGAGTGTTTGGGGTTTAGTGCTGATTGAGAGGAAGGGATGGACAGTTGGTGACATTCAGACATGATACTACTTCTGTCTGTTAGATAGATGATAGATTGAAAGTATGAAATTAACTTAGGGAATACTTGTAGGTTTTTTAATTTGTGACTTAGTTTAATCTCTTCTCCAATTATCACAGATAACTGAGAATGGATGATAAATAGCCCTAGGTATATCAGTATTTAAACAGCCCCGCACCTGGATATATTTTTTAACATTTATTTAGCCCACTGCAGTAAAGTGATATTGCCTGCCTGCCTTTTTCTTCCCTCCCTCCCTCCCTCCCTCCCTTCCTTCCTTCTTCTCTTGTGCCAGTACTGGGGCTTGATCTCAGGGTGTGGGCAATGTCCCTTAGCTTTTGTGCTTAAGGCTGGCACTTTACCACTTGAGCCACAGCTCTACTTTCAGCTCTTCGGTGGTTAATGAGGGATAAGAATCTCACAGGCTGGTTTCAAACTGCAGTCCTTATAGCTCAGCTTCTGGAGTAGCTAAGACTACAGGCATGAACCAACAGTGCCCAGCAATTGTTACTATTAAGCACCCTATTTTAAGTGATTTGCCAATCCTCATTGCAGAAGATAAAAGCTCATGTACATTGACTGAATTTGGGGCTAATTTTCTGGGGTCGAGAGAGAGAAAGGAAGCAGTTGTATGGATGTCTTTCTTCATGCTCTTTTTCTATAGCATGCTATACCCTGAACTTCTTATAAGAAGTTAAGTGACAGAGTTAGTTCCTACATAGACTACCATCTCTACTTTTGGTTTGGATTCAGACACGCAGTTTCTGAAAGTCATATTTGGGCAGAAAGAGCCCAGGAGTTCTCCAGAATATTGCTTTTTAAAAGTACTTAAACTATTAAAATAAAATATTACCACCTCAAACTACCTGCTATTTTCCATCCCTGTCAGCCTCTGGAAGTCAGATTTATAGCCAAAGTGATTTGTGAATCCATTGAGTGGATTTTCCCCCCTTCTTGACATTTTAAATTAGTAAGAGACCAAAATCAAGTAAAATAAATAGATAATAGGAAGAATGTTAGGACCATTCTATGTCACTCATGTTTATTTTCTCTCCTTTGGACTAGAAATTTCGTCAAGGAGTTTAATTGTCATATTAGTCTTAAATGTGAAGATGGCTGGGGTTTGTTTTGGTGAGATGGGCCCAGAGCTGCAGAATAGTACGACAGATTCCCCTCCATGCCACTGTCCCTCCTTTAAAATCAAATGATGGAACAACTCACATGCAAAAGAGGACTAACTATAGCTCCAAGCTCAGGACAATAGACTATCTATCTCTTTTCTCCATTGCTCAAACAGTTGGCCAAATCACTGGTCTATTCCCTGAACTTTTTCCCTTCTGAGTGAATCCCACAATCCTTGGTTCTAGTCTTTTCATTTTGGTCTGAGACTAGGACTCAAACTTGGTACGTGATACTTGTAATCATTGGCTAGCACTCGACCAACTGAGCCATGCCTTCTTAGGGTTGTTGTTTTTTTTTTTCTTATTTTTGTACTAGTCTTATATTTCCCACTCCTACAATTCCATTCAGTCTTTCTTACTCTTGGTTTCAGAATACGAGGCCCAGTTGTTCTGTTTTTCTGGGAGTGGTCCCAGCCCCTCCAGATTCCTACACTACCAGCAGAACTGTAGGATAGTTGCTTCCCATGTCTACAGGAGCCAACATGGCGGTCATCTTTTGTTCTGCTTGTAACTCTGGCTTCCGATTAGTCTCTAGTTTTTGTTTCCTTCTTTAATTATTTTCTTTTCCATCTGTGCATTCCTGGATGCTACAGTATTGTATTTGCAGGATGTATTTTTCATCTTTAATTTAGGCTTTTCTCAGTATGTGAATTCCAAAAGGATGGAGTGGAGGGAAGTGAAGGAGGGAGGGAGATTGTGTACTTTTCCAGAATTTCAGTGATTTGGCAAGATTGTCCTATGGAAAGATGCTCTTTCTGTCATTTCACAGATAGGACTTGGGGTCTGGTCCCCTCTGGCCCTAGGACCTGCCTGCCCGCCCGCCACCTCAAACCTTGTTTCCTTTCTCTGATTATGCATTTAGATGGAAAATTTCAACTGACTCATGTTTACTGATGATTTTTTTTTTAATTTTAAATACAAGCTTATCCATGGTACTCTAGTTTAACATCTTTCATTAAACTTGGTTTTATTTTTTTAAGCCATTTTCCACTTTCCTAAAGAATGAATTAAATCCTCCCCTCCTCCTTCTCTCCTACGCTCACACATTGGTCCAGCCCCATCTTGTGACACCACATTTTAAGTCTTGAGATGTATGTGCCTTATTTTCTGCATCCTGTCAGTTGAAGGGACCCGTTGGTGTCACCTGGTGCTGAGGCTGCGGAGCCTGCTGGCCCCAGGTATGTGTGCGCAGCTGGGTCTGAGCCATCTCGTCACCTGGTGTTCTGCGTGGTTTGAAACTCATGGGCGAAGGTTGTTTTCTGACAAGTTACCCCTGTGCATCCTGCGAATGTGTAAGATTAAAAAAGAAATAATACAAGTTCTGGATTATTTGTGGGTTTTTTTTCACTTGGTTTAGTTTTTTTTTTTTAATAAAATGTATAATCCTTTTTAAAAAGAAAAAAAAAGTGTAAATACATTTAAGTATTGTAGGCCTCGTGTTTGGGTGTGGCCGCTCCAGGCCCTCCTCCGCCAGCCTGCGGCCCAGGCCAGGGCCTTGCCAGGAGGAACTTGACCTTTGCTTTGGAACCACTTAGTCCTTTTATAACAAATTTTAAAAAAATAAAAAAAAATGTTTCTTACAATGTCAATAAAAAAAACTTTGTATTGAACCTTTTCTGCCGGATTGTCTGTTTAATTCATAATGGACTGGAAAGAGTACTGTCTGAAAAAGTCCAGAGTCCCATGTGTAGGTCCAGAACTCATCACACCCCCTGAAGGGAGACATGAAATGACCTCGCATGGAACATGGGTCCCCCCACTGGGGGGGATCAGGTCCCCATTGCCTTTCAAGTTGGTCTTCCAAGTTAAGACCCCAAGGCTTCTCCAGACCTGACACTTGGCCTCTTGTATCATACAGGAGAGGCAGGTGCACCCCCAGAACCTACGGATGCCAGTGTCTCCTTTGTCCGTTGCAGTCAACAATAGTGTCTAGCTCAAGGAAGACATAGGCTGTGGATGAGGCCTAGTGGCTTTGAGTGAGGGGTCCAGGTTCCCCCGTGGGAAGGAGGATGGGCATAAACTCAGGGAAGTTGGGGGTGCATGGGCACATGATATGAGGGAATTCAGTGGCCTCTAGAGCAGCAGGCCACATGCCAGCCACTCAACAAGCCATCCACAGCAGGACATGGGACTCCATGCACCCACCAAGCAGGGTGGGTACTGCCAGCTGGAGACTTGGCATGGACTTGCTCAAGCTCTGAGACATCTAGAACTCTCCCAGGCAAGAGGGTCAGGTACAAGAGAGGGGAGAGGAGAGGGAGAGCCTGAAACTTCCTTGTGATGCTCCTCGTTCTTCCTTCTCCTTCCTCTTCTCCTATCCCCTGTTCCTCTCCTCTCTCCTCTCCCTCCTTCTCTTCCTTTCCCTGCTCCAAGGGACTTGCCCATGTGAACTATCTCAAAGGGGATAGGATGTGGTTGGGGTTCAGGGACCAGCAACCATAGGAATTTCCTGGATTCCAGGGGACAAATGCCTGTCCTGGGGAGTGGGAATGGGTGGCTGGTGGGCCAGGCAGGGCTTGGAAAGGGTCTGTGTGGAGGAACTTGTACAAGACACAGACATGACTTAGAGTTCATCCACATGCAGGTGTGGGGAAGGCCCGGGACCTTTCAGGGAGCCCTTGGCTGAATGGAGAGGAAGGCCAGGAGGGATGGGAGGAGGTGAGGTGAGGCCTGAAGCTGGTTAGGGATCATGTGAGCATCGCGTGTGAGCATTCCCTGCTGAGTTCCCACAGCGTCTGGGGAGTTGGTGCTTTGAACCGTGGCAGGTACTCCCTCCCCACCCTTGGACCAAGGCAGCAGGTGGGTAGGCTGGAGGGGCTGCGTCCCTCCCTGCTTCGTCCCGGCCCCACGGAGGCAGGCTGTGATGAGTGGGGGCTGGGGTGGGAATCAGCCCTTCCATCTCTTTCCAAGCTGGCAGAGATGATGGAGTTCCTCTGAG